TCCCACATTATAGAGGGACAAGAGGGAACGAGCTGGCAAGCTGCAACAAGAATCTGAAGGGAAATCAACACTATCACAAGGGACAGGGACAGATTGGAGAATTCCTTTCTATCAAAATCTGAGATCGGCAGAGTTTGCATTAAGAGAATGCAACCCATTCATTTTACTGATGAGGAGACAGAAGGTCAAGGTGGACCATGGTGAGGTTTGACTCAACGTTCTGGACTTCCCATCCTGATGGTTCCTTCTATATCACAGATCCTAGCTTACAAATACAAAGTCCAATTTTTCAAAGAGGCATATAATTAAAAAAAAAAAATCCCAACACTCAGGTGTCTGACCCCGATTTGTCATTTCTTCTGTGTGCCGAGAAAGAAGACAATCTGAAAAGCCTCCACGCCGCACGGTTTCCACTCTGTGATGTTGTGGAGAAGGTCAAACCATGGGGACGGTAAAGGCAGCACTGGTTGCCGGGGGTTGGAAGGGAGGGAGGAAGAGGTGGAGCACCAAGGGTTTCCAGGGCAGTGGAAGTCTTCTGTGGGATGCCGTCATGGTGGATGGATGTCATCATGCATTTTTCAAAACCCACAGATTGTACAACACAAAGAGTGAACTCTAATCTAAATATGGATTTTAGTAATTTTCCCAGTAAAAAATTAGGACTCAGTAATGTATCGATACTGGCTCATCGATTATAACTAGTATACCACACCAGTGCAGGATGTTAGTAATGGGGAAACTGAGGGAGGGTGGGAAGGAGGTATATGGAACTCTATGCACAATCTGTTCAATCACTCTGTAAATCAAAAATACTTAAATAATTTTTTACATATCTATGCGGTCCACATAAGGGCCGTGTGTCATCCAGGACTCACCTTGGGCTGAGTCTCGGTCTGCAAAGTTCTCTCCCAGACCCTAGTGAAGAGGAAAGAGCGAACGTAGGAGCAGGCCAGGGTCCCAGGCTGGCTTGCTGCCTCCTGTAGTAATGGCACCTAACAAGGGCCTAGTATACAGTACGTTCTCAATAAATATGTGTTAAGTTGATGAATGTTTGGGGCATCAGAAACCCAGGTACCTCCTGGGATGAGGGAGTGAGGTTCCAGGGGAGTGGGGAGAAAGTAGCAGAGACATGGTGGGTATTTTGGCCCCTTGAGGGGACCCAGAGGAGGAAGGAGCTGGTGTCACTGCTCTTTTCCCCACAGAGTGGGGAGAAGCTCCCTCCAGGTCGCCAAAGTCATCTCAGCACACAGGAAGAAATGATGAATCGGGGTCAGACACCTGAGTGTTGGAATTTTTTTTTTAATTACATGCCTGTTTGGAAAATTGGACTTTGTATTTGTAAGCTAGGATCTGTGATACAGAAGGAACCATCGGGACGGGGAGTCCAAAACGCTGAGTCAAACCCACCATGGTCCACTTTGACCTTCTGTCTCCTCATCAGTAAAATGAATGGGTTGCATTCCTCTTAGCGCTAACTCTACCAGTCTAAGACTGTGATAGAAAGGAGTTCTCCAACCTGTCCCTGTACCCTGTGATAGTGTTGACTGCAACCTTCAGAACAGAACATCTCCACTACCTTGCTTAAAACAGAAGAAGAAGCCATTTCCCTAGGTTTTATGGATGGAACTCTGACTTCTTCCTTGGATGTTTTGTGTGTTCGGAGCCACTCCCTTCCCGCTCTGACCTAAAGACCTCACAAGCTTAAGAAAAAAACAGAAAAGCAAAAAAAAAAAATTAATAGCTATTGGTTATGTTCAATTCCAGAAGATCAAGAAATAGAAGAATCTAGTAAATTACAGGTAATGAACAAACACAGCAACATGCCAGGCACTGCACAACATGAAAGGCACACAGTGTTGAATTAGGACACAATCTTAGCCAGTGCAGTGGCTCACACCAGTAATCCCAACACTTGAGGGGCCAAGGCAGGAGGATCACCTGAGGTCAGGAGTTCGAGACCAGCCTAGCCAACATAGTGAAACCCCTGTCTCTACTAAAAATACAAAAATTAGCCATCCCTGGTGGTGGGCACCTGTAATAACACTGCTGCTCAGGAGGCTGAGGCAGAAGAATCGCTTGAACCCAGGAAGTGGAGGTTGCAGTGAGCCGAGATCGCACCACTGCACTCCAGCCTTGGTGACAGAGCCAGACTCTGTCTCAAAAA